TCAGCATGTTCAATTTCTCAATGTTAAAATTGTTTCTTACTTCAACATTTTCATAATTATAACTTTCCTTTCCCTAAAAATTGTAAACATCTGTATTTTTAAATGATGGTGAAACTTTTTGTTGAAATCTGCAGTATTTCAGGAGAAACTATACAGTAAAATCTTTTTTTCTTTTTCACATATATTTATTTATTTATTTAATCTATTCACTATTTCCCAGTGCACATAGTTTATTTGGGAGGTGACGCCAGATGATAGCAATCAGCGAGTGGGGAATGAAACAGAGGGCAGAAGGAATACCTTTAAAAGTTTCTTTGCAACTAAAAATAACTAAAGCATGTGTACAATTCCCAAGGGAATTTTTGGAAAAAAAATTTGCTTATCTTGACAAAATTGTAAAAATATTTTCAAATATATGTTGCCTTCCCTTCCTCTAGTAGCAAAACTATCTATGGACAAGGATTAATTACACAATAACGTTGAAATAATGATATTGTTTTGCATATTTTTATTCCATTGTGGGGATAAATAAAAATGTACGATATTGTTTTTCATATTTTTATTCCATTGTGGGGATAAATAAAAATGTATGGCTTTCTAAGACTAAGAAGAGAATATTTCCAAATTGTTTATTTTTCATAATGTTCTGTGATAAAAATATTTTATAAACACTTAAGGGATTTTTTAAAGTTCTATGCAGTTTACTTTCCATCTTCTTTCACAGAAAACTAGTTTTAGTTTATTTTCCCCCTGGAGGTTTAATGCTGACAACTTTATCCATTTTCTCTTTCCTAATTAACCAGGAAAACTTTCCTGCCAGCAATACTGAAAGACTGCAAGACCTCAAGTCAACTGTTGACCTGCTAACAAGCATCACCTTTTTTAGGATGAAGGTATCTCATTTTATTTCTGTTACTGCCTTAGTGTGACATAGATCACATTCATTTCCTGGTACAGTCTTGTTTTTCCCTCCCCTTGATCAGTATTGTTCGACCCCAGTGATTAACTTTTGCTGTCTTCACCTGAGCTAAATGAATCTTCTAATATAAG